TTTACTTAATCATTTAACAAGGTCTGACTTATCTTAATGAAAATTTCAATCGAACTCTTAATTAATTACTTTGCTCTAAACTTGTACTACTCTAACGTTTGTACCGTTAATAATGTAAATAGTTTTAACGAGATTCGTAAACGAGCCGCTGAGATTGCTTCTTCTTTAATTAGATTCTTTGTAATAATCTTGACCAATCGGTTTATCGATGTTAACGAATGGGTTCGATAAATTTTTTCTTTTCTCGATTTGTTCGATTAAAACGTACTTGATTTGCATACAATTTTGTCCTCGAACACATTACGTGACTAATAGAGTCTTAGTAATTATATGCATATCGAAGATAAAAATCCTTTGAGAGAAAAAAAGAAAAACCGAGGACGCGAGTAAGTTGATGGCACGAGGAAGTAGATGGCGGAATTATTTACGGCAGGTGTCGACGGCTTTGCTACCATCTACAAGGTGTCCCGTTTCGCAACCAGTTCGTTCAGCTCTTCGATGACTTGTACGATAAAATTGGATGTTCCACGCGGAAACTACATGTTCTTAAACGTGTTAGGGAAGTCGAATAAATGGGGATTTGTGATATACCTATTTGATCTAAACAATATTTACATAAAATAATTCCGAGGTTAAAGAGAAAAATATTCATTTGCATGTTATTCTGTGGAAAATTGAACAAATGCATTATTAAATACATCGTTACGGAAGGAATACTTGGAAATAAAAAAAATACGTGAATTACAATTAGCCCACTTTCATAATAACCGGCCATCTTACAACGATCCTGGAAATGAGTACAAAAAATTAAAGTACCTCTGTAATTAGCTACTTCATTATTTTTCTTGGATAAAAGAGACGTTTCAAAGGTAAGCGAAAAATATCGTATGTAATATATATGTTTTTGTAATTTTTGTGTGCGGTTATAATCTAAATTCAAAAAGATATGACAGCCATTCGAGGATGAAGAGGGAGGGGGGAACTTTAAGCTCGTCGCGAGTATTCCCTTCTATGTCTCGAAGCTTCATCTTTCTCACTCTTTTATATCAAAGATATACATAGTACATAGATATAGAGAGAGAATCTCTTTCTGGGTCAGAAAATCTACGACGTGGACTTGGGTCCAACTACGTCAATGACGACGACGACGACGACGACGACGACGACGACGACGACAATGACAACTACACGTCGGAAGTCACCTTGCACTGCTGATCGAGTCCAACCATTATGAACGTTAAGAAAATAACTAGAACGATCTCTACTCGACACTCTAAGAAAACTAGTCGTACGTCGTGTTGCAAGACAAAGTTCTGAAAATGAATTATTCGAATAATTAAATACAAATAAATTCTATAATTAATAAGTGTAAATCAAATATGTCTGCTTTTATATTAATTGAATTATGATACACCCTCTATAAAGATTTCTAAATATTTCTTTTTTTCTCTCTCTCCCTCTCTTTGTATTTCTTTTCTGTATTTTTTTTAATAAACAGCTGGTGTCCGAGAAAAAATATTGAGAGGGATAGAGAAATAAGTTATAAGCAGATAAGAAAGACTTTAGCATTAATGGCTGCGTACATCAAGCGTTTTGCAATTACAACCATTTACCATTCCATATGTTGGATTCATCTTTGTTCTAGTCGAACACGTTGGGTGGTAAAGTAAAACGTTTTACGTGTTTTTAAATTGATCCTCTCGAATACTGCATTTTCATTGAAGAATGACTTGATAATAACTTTGAAGATATTGGAACATCGTTTATTTTTACTTGTCAGTATTTCGAATGATAATAGAAAAATATTTTTAAAAATAATATCTGTGTTTAGATGAAATATTTCGGTGATGATTTTAATTCATAAAATGGACGTTTGAACAATTTCTACTTAAGTCAAATAATTTTAATAGAATTTCGTATCATCTTACCTTTGATTAATTAATTACTCGATATATAAATTATGTGTTTATTCAGCGATACTAATGTGAAGAAAATTGATTAGAATGGTAACGTACGGGCAACTAAAGAGTTACGATATTTAATTTCTCTTGGAGAGTCTCTCCAGGAATAGTAAAGTGCAACGTCGATTGAACAAAATATAGTCGAATATTCATAAATATAGAGAGAAGAGAACTCGTATAGACTAGGAAAAGACTGCTCTTCCGTACGTATAAATTCGTCGTAGCTGAAGAAAGAAAAGTGCCGAGCAAAGTACATTCGTGATATTACGTAGTATCGCAACGGTTTATCAAGGCCGGATTAAAAGATAACCAGAAAACATTTGCAACATTTTCATGTTTAAAGATGTATACACGATTTTAATAATCTCTGTTTCAACGCTTTATATTAAATGTTATGGTTTCGTAAGAAACGATGAGATATTTTAAGCGAATACAGGCTGAGATAAAAGTCGTTTTATCTAGAGAAATCACAAGATTTGGTTGAAACGGTTAATAGAACATTTATAAATCGAGTCAACGGAATTTGAACAATTTATGTAAACACAAATGTAGAAAATTAATATATAAAAATATAACTCTAAATAGTTTATTTCGAGTTATTTTAGAGAAAGTGATTTTTATCTCATTCTACATGTCTAGCTTTTTAAATAGAATTCATATTTACGTAGGTACATATAAAAATTAATTTCTATCAATTACTTTATGTAATAGTTCAATAACGCACTTCAATAAACTTGTTTTAATCGGTTATTTAGCTATTTATATGCATAATAAATATAACATTTATATGTACAAAAAAAATATGTATTTATTAGACAAGAAATTGTAATTTTGCTCACATAATGATCTGCATACGTAAGAAGGTCTAGACAAGTTAGACGATTGCAAGTTGATATATTTAAAATGACTTATTGTTAGTAGGACACGTCAGTCTTCTTCTTCGTCGAAACAATGAATAGAATTCGTTTCTAGACAGGACGCTCGTGCACGACACACCTGTAACTATGCATTTTACATGCGTAACAGGAACGCATAATAGGAAAGAAAAGGTAAAGAGGAAATCCCAATAAGGTAAGACGACTTGAACTTTAGTAAAATCGTAGTCTCTTCTATGTTACGTTAGACGGAAAGCAGCGGTTCCTCGATTAGTCGGAAGTTTAGTTACATGTTTCCTGATTAATAAATCAATACATGCTATGTATAGAATTCTTATAGGGCATGCGTACATAGGTACAGTTAGATCGTTTCCTTTCGAATCGAAAGGAATCGTGAAACGAATAAGGATTCGAATAATCAAAATCGATGAATTATTTAAGTTCCTTAATCAAAACTTGTCTACATACAATAAACATATTTACATTGTTACTTAAAACGGTAACGTACGTTTAAAAATAACTACGACACAGAAAATATTATATTATATATAATAATACATTAATTAAAACTCGAATTATCGTGACAATAAAATAATCAATTTCCAGACGAAACTAATCGAAAGTGTATTGGTAAATACTGCAATTTTTGTTGAACTTTCTTTTACCCGCTTATACTATATACATATGCACATACACATATACATATATTTCATTAAGTCGAGGAATCAACCTATAGTTATAAAAGTTAAAAAATAGAATGTCGTTTAAAAAGGAATTAACTTAAATATTCGATGTTATATCACACCTATAAAAAAATACTCTCATTACTTTTATATTACTTTCTATTGTTCGAAGAGAGAATGACATTCATTTCCTGTAAGCTTTGTATGAAAAATGTTAAAAATCTAGGCTTACCAAGCGTCGAAGGACTCCTTCAGTTGGAAGGATTCGAGCCGTTATTATTATAGTAACGGAGAATGCGTAGATCCGGTAGAGAGTTGTTCTCGTGTCTTCCTCGTTTAAGTTGAAGTCTGAACATTAAGTCTAACGATCGCGAAAGATAGAAAATCAACTAACGGAGAAAGAATGAAACGACTCGTGTCTACGGATCGCGACGTGTCGTTGATCCTTCAAACTCGACTACTTCCAATATTATTAAAGATTATCCTGAAAACATTATATTTATATTTTCTTTTCTTTCTTTTTACTGTGAATAATTTCCGCGATGAATTCTGTCGATTTTGTTCTCCCTCCTTGTTTACTGCTTTTCTCCTATAAATAGACAAGACTTTTAAAAGATTGACATTAAAAAATGTAAATAACCTCGATCGAGGAAAGTATACAACGAATAAATTTAGTTCTTTAAGTAATCTCGGCGGAAGAAGACCTGCATCATATACTTATTCGCAAGATCTTTTCGTTCAATTTATTTCATTCGATTTATCATAATTAAATGTAGCATTGCTCATAATTATTAAAAAGTTATATATATAGTCGTTATAGGAATAAATCTCTAACATATTTATTATTTAAAGGATTGTATATGACACATTGCTGTCTAAATAAATTATATTTCAATTAGGATTCAATGATTAACGGTTAACGATTATCGGTTAATAATCAACGATTACAATTTCATTAATAATACGTCGTTCGACACACACACACTCGATCTAATATTAATTATTATGAAATTAATGTTTTCTTCATATTCGTCGATTAAGGGAATAATGTTAAAAATATTTGATAAATCGATGTAAGGAACATTATTAGAAGAAAATGAGCGTCAATATGGTAAGTAGTAGAACGAATTGGAAAATCGCAGAAGGAAAAGAAGAAGTATCATGAAAATCAAAGTTATCGATAACGAGAGGAAAAAGAAGAACTAAAAGCGTGTCTAAATTGCGAATGGTTTCTCTGGTTCGGTAGAAACTATCTCGAGCACCTATTCCGATCTCTCGGTGCTACCAAGCTTGGTATACAACGGTGTTGCAGATATGGTGGGGAGAGTTGAAGGTAGGTAGAATGAGTAAGTGCGAGAGAGTGAGAGAGAGAGAGAGAGAGAGAGAGAGAGAGAGAGGGAATTACCGAGCGAGCAGTTGGAAAGAAGAAGAGGAGAAGGAGGAGTGAGAAAAAGAGCGAGAGGAGGACTCGCGGTGTACTGTCAGAGTCCACAGTCCTAAGTTGGCCTCAGGCTGCAATAGAACGTGTATCTCTCTCTCTTTCGGTGGCTTCGATCTGATCGAAGAGAACGCGGCTCCAGCCAGTCTCGCGCGAACCTTTGCGAACCTTGCCTCCTTAGGACGACGCGATCCTTCCTCTCTACCTGCCTGCCCTTCGACTTTTATTTTTCTATTTCTTTTTCTTAATATTCCTCCTGGTCTTCCTTTGAATAATTTCAATTGTGTTTTTTTTTTATTTTACTGTGGAAAGGAAATTCGGGATAAAGTGAACTCTCGAGTCGGAGTACGGATCTATTCGTCGAATCTTCATTCCAGAGGTGAGTTTAATCATTTTCATTCAACAAGTGTCATTTATTTGTCGGTTAAGACTATTTTTATTTTTATTTTTGTTATTACTACTTTTCTTTTTAACTTATTGATAAAACGTCATTTTGTTTTGTAATTGTTTTTCTTTTTGTTTTATTTTCGAAAGCAATCAAATGGAAATATGTGTGTAATAAAATAGTCCTTATCGAAGCCGTCGTAAATAATAGATATCGTGATTTTCTTTGTGTTTTATCATAGATGTCATACGGAATGAGTTGTCTTGTCAAGAATATATATATATATGTTATATGTCGTTTTCTTTTTACAGATATTGTTAGACTTTGTACAATCGGGTATTTAAGTGATGAAATGTACATTACCGCTTCATTATCTTATTCTTCTTTGAACTCTTTTGTAACTCAGTTCGTGTCTTTTTAAGTTTTCTCTTTTGTCGTCGAAAGTGTAGAGGCACGTAACCTTGCTCATTAGGGGCGGACCGAGTAAAGGTTAAAAATATAATTCCTCAGACGGTTGTGCTTTAGAGTTATAGTCGAAGAATTCAATGCACGAAATTCGTATTAGTCTCGTGATGAAAGAAGTTAGAAAATAACTCAAAACAGATGACTTTTTCAAAGTGAATCACTGCTATGGGTATTAATCGCAATAAAATTCTTCGATTATTTGCAAATGGGAGACTCGTTAATTTAAAGTTAGATTATATACTATGTATTACCAGTTGATTCGAAGACTCATGGTAATGTATATTTACCTACCGCTTGCTAATGTATTAGGAACGCCTTTGAAATTCATTTCGGTTCCGCGTAGTCACGAATTTTCCGGTTTCGGTCTAACGAAAGAGAAGTAAAAGAGAGAAAAAGATATAAATCGAGAGGAGAAGGTTTGACTAAAATTAGAATGAAATGCTGGAAATGAAATAGTGCTAGTCGACGTGGTAGTAGTCAGGGTCAAAAACGGCGGGTGGCGATCGCTTTGTTACGAAGCACTTCTCTTAGTTTCTACATTTTGGATCGTTTCGTTCGGTCTTCGTTCGAAGCGGGATTTATCTAGAGAGATTCGTACTTTTTCTCACTTTATCAAGTCTCGGAGAATGGCTCCATTCTATTGTCTAACTGTAGATATAACTCGAAGAGAGATACGATTTACAACGCGTTCATTGTCGCGATCCGAGAATCCTTGAATCGTTCGAACTCTTTCATTCATTCATTCATTCATTTATTTATTTATTTCTATTCCTATATCCTTTTATTTTACTTTCTATTTTCTACTTTTCTATTTTCTATTATTATTTACTAACACAAAAATGAAAGTTTAATTATTTTTTCCTACACTAACTTGTCAAGGATCACCCAAAAGATTTATCGATCGTATCACCATCATATCATTTTGCCGTTTTTGCATTCTTAATATATCGACAGCTGCGTAAAGACACCTCGATGTATCTCGTTTGTATGCCTTCCAGCAAAACTCCGACGAAGTCTGCGGTCTATCTGGCTTCTCCGTTCTTTTGACCGACGACTGACTGTCTCGTTTAATTGTTCCAAAGAAATCTTATACCTAGATCATAGTCTATAAGCGTAATATGCAAATGTCTATGCATTACATTAAGTTTCTTTTTTATTATCTTATTTTATTTGAAATTTTCTTTATCATACGCACTAATAGATATTCAAAGTTAATCGTTCAACGTGAAAGATTAGAAATCGTATTGTTTGATAAATCTTATCTCGCATTGTTTCTAATGTATTTTATATGTTTTTTATTTGTAGCGTAAAGAGCAAGTCAAAAGTTACAAGTTGATTACGAAAGTCAATTAATCTTTTCTGATATTTTTATTCTCCGTCGTAAAATTACAAGTCCAAGAAGTTCTAGCCTACTCCGTATATCAAAATTTCACTAATTGTTCGTTTATATCGAATCCTTGTAATTTAGAAATGATCCTTACAGAATTTGATAATTATTAATTTATATACATCCACACGTGTCTTCGCTTTACAATCTTTTCATTTCTTTGTAAAAAAAAATATCGCTGATTTCAGTATAGGTATTTCCACAGAAGATGATTACTAAGCCGATCAGATGACTCCGCATGGTTATTTCCATATCCACCTTGATCGATTCGGAGTCTCTTACATATACAGAAGGAACATCTTGCGTTACGAGAAAGAAATTTAGCGTTTCACGTTCCGTCTGACGTAGCTCCATTACTCCTTCCGAAGTTTCATTCATGAATATCTCGACATCATTCTTACCTACGTCAATAGTTATTTCTCGTATGATTCCTTCCACTATCTTATTCATAAACTAATATATTTAATATTCATCTATTTTTCCAATGACGTCCATTGCTAAAAATAAGTTTCGTATATTCTTTGTTTTACTTGCATACCTGTTATTCTTAAAGATTCAATTTATTACGAAATACGAGTGTCGAAATAATACAATTTCGTGACATAACATTCGATTACGATATACGCATAATATTTTATGTTTTAATTAGAGACACGAAAGAAAGAAATAAAGAAAAAAAAAAGAAAAAACAAGAGAAAAGAAATTAATATTAATTCGCACGTTTCGCACATTTTTTTATCGCTTTAATTTCATTGCCAGATATGTAACCCAAATAAAAGTGATAGATATCAGACTATTTTAAGGTCATTTCGTATTGCCACGAATCATTACTGAATTTATTCATTTAATCAACTTTAGCGCTCGTTAAACGTTGAATAAAACGTACGCGTTAAAAGTTTTACGCTCGATGACTCGTTTGATTCTCTATGACGTCAATGCCGAGCTTGTTTTTATCAAAGAATATTGTAAAAATTATCGGGAGGATCGGTCCTTCTGCGAATGTTCATTAATTTCGATCAGAGATTTTATTTAAATATCAGATTTAACTTGAGACTTAAAGTGTCCTATCGTTTCTCTTCCTTCGGATTTCCTTTCGAATAAATTTTTCTTATTTTTCAAGAATAAAAATGTGTGGTGATACATAATTTTAAAAAAATCACAAATTCATTTGTCTATATTCATTTATGTCATTTCACAAAGATTATCGCTACGACAATATTTCTTCTCGATGGTCAAACTTGTGTAAATGAAAATTTCCTCTCGATTATGATCATTCACGCGAATTAATGATGCAACGATGTATACAAAAAATATATTTTTTCTTTTTTATTTCACATTATAATACTTTCGTAATTCAAAAATAAGAAACTATTGTTATTCGACGAAGAATGAACCATTACAAGTGTGTAAACAAAATTTTTTGGAAAAAATCAGTGATTGCACACGATTGCCATGCCCTTGCAAGTAATTTGTGCATCGAACCTTTTCCCTTAGGGAATTTTTACCAATTGTGTATGAGGAAACAGGTAATAATCCCATCGTATCGGAGTTATACTAAATCCGAGCGCGTGCCTCGGTTCTGTTCGCTACAAATCTTTCTAAACGAAATTCTTAAGTGGACGAAGATGAGATGAACAAGCTTAGAGGCGAACGAGGAGGAGGAGGAGGAGGAGGAGGAGGAAACTGCGACCTTGAGTGCTTAAGAATCGAGCTCGACATATGGCCCGTTCTCATCGTCTTTGACTACTGTGTGTGTATGCATATATTTATGTGCGTGCATATATACATGTGTTATACATGCATATATATGTCGGCGTTAAATCGTATAATTCATTTAATTTCATGTTTTAACAGTAACATATACACATACATATTAAAAATATTAAAATTCCATTTTCTATATTCTATAAAAACATTTTAATGATAGTACCATACATATACTTATTTCATTGGGAAAATTTGTTATTTAACATGCATGCACATACACAAATATTAAATATCTGAAATATTATAATTCCATTCCTCGACGAGATTATTTGGAAAATTCACTTTCCAGCGAGAAATGCATTTTAACTCACGAATTAACGTATTTAACATATTTACTTTAACATATATATATATGTAAGAGAATGAACAAGTGTACGGCTTGCCAACATAGAAAAAGCGTCTGACAATAAGAGAACCGGTGTTGACTGTGATGGGACAGTAATTGGCCAGAATTAGGACCAATCGATTATGACTTCGAACGTTCCCTATGTTCTGTCTTTTACTCTTCGTTCTTATTCTTCTCTTATCTTCTTGTCTTTTCAAATGATGATGACTCGACTCTTTCTATCAACGGGGACCTTATCCAACTAGATATCGATCTTTTTTTAATTTTATCTTTTTTTATTCGCTCGTATGACGCGATTCAGATTTACGATATTCCAGTTAAATTGTTTTAAAGAGTCATTTTTATATTTTACATTTTCACTTTTAATATTTTATATATATATTATTTTGTAATATTATATTTCATCATCATTTTTGTATAAAAATAATCTCATTAAAATGTAAACAATTTAAATAACGATAACTTGTATCAAGATTTTGTAATAAATTTGTTCTTCCTTCGATGTATAGTAGAAATTTGTTAATATGCAAATTTTGTATATGTTAATAATAATAATAATAATAATAATAATAATAATATTTTTTAGCTCGTTGGAATAAAAAACGATGAAATCATGTGCCGAATATGTCAAGATAACAAATAAGAGATAAAAATGTCGCGTAGATATGTTCTTTTAGGATATGGGTCGAGAATCAAAATTCTTAACTTTATTGTTGGATCACTGAACTGAATTTATAAAAATAGCCTTAGAAGTGTATTGTGAGGTTAACGATAGATATCAATGCCAGTGTCTTCAGTATCTTGTTTTTGCTCAGTTTGTACAAATGTTTTTACAAACACATAAACGGAAGAATATTTTGTAATATAATTGAAATAACTGCTTCTACGTAAAATATACTGCATTAAAAATTATTTATTGCTTTGGAACTTGGTTTACCGATCAGTTTACATTGTCGTGAAAATCCCCAGCACACGATGTTCTGTAGACTTCGTTTAAAATATTTATAATGCCAGAAATACTGGTTCTGT